GTGTTCTAAATTAGCTGTTAATAGCTTTCTAGAGTAATATGAACCCAGTCATACAAGATATATAGTTTTAGACTTAGCTCCTTCAGTTTATAGGATTTCTTTTATTAGGAGATCTCCTTCTTATATGTGTTTAAGGAGTGTCATCTGTCAGTTTTGGAGAATTTCCTTAGTGTTAATAGCTTGGGTTCAGTTTTTCGGATTGTATATACTGCAGGCTTCTGTTGGGAGGTGTTTTTTACACTGATAGCTCATTGGGTCTTGGTGATTCCAGGCAAGACTCCTCCACATTCAAGTTGTAGGATCTGTGCATTGGGTACCTGGTTCTCGGCATTTACCCTTCTAGTTTAATGGTTTTTCATCTGGCTACCAGTGCCTGAAATGGGGTGGAGGTCCCGGGTCTACATAGCACATGGTAATGTAACCTATATATATTAGCTAGTCTTAGAACATATTAAATAAACAAGAAATAAAATAAAAAAAGGCGATGAGAGGGTCTCAAGACAGTGGACCTCAAGGGCAGATACCAGCGGATTATACTAAAGAGATGAGAAGATGAAAAGTAATGCCCTCATTCTCCTACGTGACACGAAAAGTGTTGATATAAGCTATAGTACTGAGGTCTTCCTACATGGGAAATAAATTTCAATCACCGGAGGTGTAACGCAGACAGAGGGTGACTATACCCTAACGTCGTTGCCGGTGTTGTGGACTGCTCCTTGAATATTCAACCTCTCCTTTGCCCTCTTGCTTCTGTCCCCTGCTCCCCATCCTTTTTCCACTCATCATACTTTTCCTCCGCCTTCTTCCCTCTCCCCTTCCTCCTTCCTCCTCCCGTTCCTGCTTACTTCTTTTTCCTTTCACCAGTCTTTATTCCCTATGCTCAGATGCTCCTTGCCCCCAGTTCTCAATCACAGATTCTCACTCGTGAGCAAAGTCCTACTGGGATTAGCCCTCCCTTTATCCCGATCGCATAATACACTCATGGGTTCTGAGACCTCCCTTGCTCTCGACGCGCCGCACTGTATGCTGTGGTATTACACCTCCTGTGAGATGTTGCCATTTGCCATCATAGGCACCACCTAACTTCCTTCCCTCAGTAACTTCCTCCAAAATGCTTTCGTTTTTGGAGGAACTGCAGGTAGGTACCGGTTCCCCGGGATAAGAACAAGCCACAAGCACAACCGGTGGACCAGCCGCTTCACATCCAGACCAAGAGATCTGGGCTCGGCTTGCTCAATCTTCGCGCGCTAATGCAGGTGTTTGCCCTCCGGCAGTATCGTGACCCAATCGGCTGATGTCACCTGTCGGGACCCATCCTCTACCCCGCGCTTCGCTTCATATCTCACAATATCCTTTGGCTCCTAGTCGTAGAGCCTTCCTAGGTTTGTCATGAACGGTTCAGTATTTACCATTCCCTAACATTCTCTGAAGCTAAGAAAATCGTCACTCCCTCTTCCCTCCTGCGACTCCGCCCGGCGGGTTTCGACTCCTAGCCCTGGACAGAGCCAGGTTCATCAAGGTATGATCCTACATAATCTGTGGTGACCTAGAGAACAGAAATCATGACCTCAGGTGTAAATGCATCTTCTCTTCAGTTTGAAGTCCTAAATACATCTCGGTAAGGGTTAATCCGCGCACCTGGAAGTCAATATTTGAATCCTTCCTGGTGATCCGAGCATTCTACCACCCGAGGCCAGTTCGCCCCGAGAGCTTCAATTCAATAGCGTAGAAATTGGCAAGAAGAACACCCCCCGGAGTTCGTCCCCCTTTGTGTTGCCCCGAAAGGAAAGTATGATAAGATGTTTGTATCGATCCGACCCGCCGGCCAAGCATTATGGACCCCAGATCCTATGGTATTCTTCCACTCCCATTTCAATATTCCGGCATTCAGCACGCCACGAGGACATTGTGCGAAAATCTTGAGCTGTGCGGGATCCCGCCCTCTGATGGTATACGCACGTTCTCGCACTCTCTTCGCTAGCCCTAAGCCACTGGTCCTGTAGGGTAATATCTCATGACATTGTGGGATACAATAAGACCGTCAAGGTGCCGTATCATAATGCTATGGCCTTGACACCGTGAAATAGGAGGGGCTCTATGCAGACCAACCGGACATGAGATCTCCCTTCACTGCAAAGTCTACTGGTAGTGCCGGTAATTGATAGGATGGGCTTTGTATCCGCCTCAACTCGCTTGGACCGGAACTGGTATAAATAACGTGTACATCTCAAGTCATATCGAGTATATTTCCAGCTGGAAAGGTTCCAAAACCAACCCAGCAACCCATCAGCCACCTCTCCGCGAGACAACAACCGGACCGAAAACGACAGTACCGGTATAAGATTCAAACCCATTGTAGCACAACTCGAGCAGAGGAGTAAACCTACAGTTCCCCGGTCACTCCCAGGAGCGAACCCCACTGCTTGGATAGATAACGATAAACACAGCGCCGTAACCTTCCACGATATTATAGGGGGGCAGGTCAAGATCGCGAGATTTCCTCAAAATCATGGGCGAATCTTCTTCGTCTCTCTCTCTTTACTTTTTGTTTGGGGGGCACTGCAACTGTTCCTTTGCTTCCTCATTTCCTGTGCCCCGTGGTTTGTCTGACCACCAAGGCTAAAGCGATCGAGACCCTTGCTCCAAGAATGAATTTGTCAACACAAACAAGCAAGGCCGATATTGGGGATGGTGGGCAAAAACGAATTATCATAATATTCGAGTAGACACGGCCATTCTCGAGTGACGTACTGGTAGGGTAGAGCTGGGGAAACCGGGGTCCAACAGGTGGGCTTGACATCGCGCCTGCCCGAGACACTTTTCGAGAGGTCCCATTGGATTGAACTAGTTTAGTGATGGGAGAATATGGAGTGGCAACTGGGGAGGGGGGGTGCAGTTACTCGAGCAGTGTTTTGGTCAATCGACGGGACCAACCTTTGAGTTCGGGGAAAGTGAGATCGATGGGAAGCGACCCTAGGAGGTTTAGAGGTTTCATTGGCGGAAGACAAATATTGGTGGTATGATACTCGTACTTTAAGTTTTGTTTTTCCAAACCCGCATGAAGAAATAATATGGAAGGGGAAAGACAAAAAAAACCCAGATCTCACTTACTTATGTACGGCGCTTCTTTCAGGGGATCGATTTCCCCTCCCCTCCCTCCCCTCCCTCCCTCTACTCCCTCCAACCCTCTCGTCCCTCTTCTACCTGTACGTCCTGCTGCTCCCTCGGTAATTGTTTATGGGGGTGTTGGAACTACAAGACAAGACACTGCAGAGGCTCGAGCAAGGGAAGGATGGAAGTCAGAAACAGAAAAAGTAAAAAGAAAGAAAGAAAGAAAGAAAGAAGCTGGTGTTGGTTTAGAATAGGCTCTTCCATCGGCGGGCAACTGGTTAGGAGAAACTCGATCTCGATAGATTTCGCTACTCTTGATTCGGTAGGAGAGGGCATGTGCTCCTGCAGACCCTTGCGGTCCAGATCTCGCGTATCTGAGCGGAATCGGAGTGTCAGCTTTAAGCTTCGGAGGCAAATTCCGGGGAGAGGGAGCAAATGCTGGGAGAATCTCTGATCTCTCCTGTCCATAAATCTCCTAGGGCGGGAGATGCTCTTCACGCAAGGAACAAAAATTATTTTTTCCCGTGTTTGGATGTGTGTATCGCGGGAATCCTAGATGGGCTCAGCATCAACCACAACGACAACATCATTTTCACATCACGAACCCAAATCACATGAACATGCCCTTCCATCACTGGAAGGTGTAGAAACAATATCGACACTAAGACTAAATTTAATAGTTTACGATTCCTCCTTTTTACTACTCAAGTACAAGCACACCCGATTCTGGCTCTCGGATACACAGTTCAGGACTAAGAGCACCGTTCAGTTCCCGGGCCAAGTACCGGTACTCGAGTAGATTCCGCCTTTTAAGCCTAATCTTCTTTTAATGTGCTCCACCGACTCCCTCTACTGGCACCTTTAGTTGCCGTTTCAGCTCAGGGCTATGTCGTCAATCAAGCGATTATTATCAAACAGCTTTCTTAGACGCCCCCTCTGCCGTATGTGAAAGGAATCCTTGTCCTCCTCTTTTCTGCTTCTCTCATGCTCCCGGTGTGAAAAATAAAGGGACTCCTCTTTGGTTCCCGGGCATAGCTTCCTGTCATACCAGTAGTCTACTCATACTCGAGCACCAAATTCCAAGTCTGGAATCGATCCCCCAGAACTGAACCGAAACGACGCCAAGCCGCTGTAACAACGCCAAGCTAACAATTGAACCCTGCCTGTGATCTGCGCCCTCACACAGGGAGTGCGCGCATCGACTGTGCTAAACGATACCGGTACCGTACTCTAGTCGAGTATAGTACCGGTACTCTACTTGCGGTAACTATTGCACCCTGTCGACCTGAGGCGCCCCTTCCCTTCCCCTTCTCCGAAGAAGCAAGAATGGAAAAGAAGGGAAAAAAAAAGAAGGAAAAGAAGAAGAAAAAAGAACGGAAAGCACCCTTTGGAAGCGTGTGAGTTGTGTGAACCGGTTTTGCCAGTCCAGCTACCGGTACAGTTTGTGAATTGTGGTGTGTCGGCTGTTGGTCGGATTGAATGTGGGGCTTACGAGCAATAGGTGGTGAACAAGTTAGGTGCGTCTGGGTGGGTGGGTGGGGGGGGTCCGCCTGTATGTTTGGAGGAGCAACGAGCGAGCAACCGAATAACTGAGTAACCTCGTGCGAGTCCTGACTGGACTTGATATCTGTGTGTGGTACTGTGTGCGTCTGGTGAATTGATGCGTGTGTCTGCGTGTGTGTGTAAAAACGAGCGAGGGCGAGAAGAGAGAGAGAGAGCCTTGAGGAAGAGCTAGCGCGTGTGCCAGCAGTGTCCGTCTTTTGGCCTTTCCTGTCTGTTTGTGAGCGGGTTCGGTCGTGTGTGTGGTGGGAATGCGCTGTTTGGGAACCACCCAGTAAGACTTACCTGCTCACTACAGTTGCTCCTCCCATTTCTCCTACAACTCTACAACTTGCCACCTTCTCTCACCAGCACCACCCCATTCTCTCCCTTTTATTTTTTATTTCTTACTATCCCCACCACTTCTACCAGCCAACCCCCCCCTTACCCCCTCAGTTTCTCCCTCTGCCCGCTCCTCCGCCCCTCTCCCCATCACTATCATCCTAGTCACAAACTCCCAATCCGCAGCCTCTTACATCTAATCCCAACCATCTTCTCAACTCCCACAATCACTCTTCTACTCGGCCCATTCTTTCGCTATCCTCGCACACGTTGTTCTTCCATCATTCAGTCAGCGTCCAGGGGTACCGTCACTAGTACTCTCTCTATCCTCGCTGTTCTCCCCACCATTTCGATACCGGTACTTACCCAACCCTTGCTCTACCTATCCGTGGTCCGCTCAATTGACTGACCAATCCGTTTTCGCCGGGAAAAGGCAAAAAGGGAAAGGGAAAGGGAAAAAGAAAAGTGAAAGCACCAGAGAATAGAAAAGCAAAGGAAAAAAAAGAAAAAAAGTAAGGAAAAAAAGGAAACAAGAAAAAGAAAAAAAGAAAGAAAGGCCAAAGAATTAACCCACCCCTCCTTATCACCCGCCCCCTCATTCGCCAATCCCCGACGAAACGTCGGCGACCCTTTACCCTCATTCCCGTAACACGTTTCGTGTTGACCAAGGATTCCAATCGCCTTCGTCGCTTTCCTCACGATAACTACTCGACCTTTACCCCCTTCTCCTCTCTCCTCTCTCCTCTCTCCTCTCTCCTCTCTCCTCTCTCCTTTCCTTCTTCTCTCCAACACTTTAGTCACTCGACATCAACAATGCCTCCCCAGCGTACTTTACCGCCTGCGAAGGCGGTGAAGACTGAAAGGACGCACGAGGAAAATCAAGAAAGGTTCGTTTTTCAATCATATTTTTCCTACTCTTGCATTGCCCCCCTATATCTAAATAATTCTTGTGCTCAGAAACATATCTTATTCTAACTCATTTTCAGAGCCTACATTGCTGCATCTCGAAGAAGCGATCGGAGCTTAGAGGCTCGTATCGAATCGGCGCGAAGAGCCTCTGCTATCCACAAGCGTCGTACTGGTCGTGCACTCCGCGTGACCGAGCAAGATGTCATCAACGAAGAGATGTACGAAGAGGAAGAGGACGAGTATTATGGATATAGAGGCCTCACGGCTCACCTTAGGAACGGTAGCCACGACTGGAATCGTCGGCTCCAAGCGTACCTACAGAGCCAGTATGTCATGCGTAGTGCTCTAAGCCAGGCTATCTCCGTTGATGGCGGAAATCCTTCACAACAGTATCCAACAACTCAGAGTGCTTATCAGTCCTCATACATGCAACAGCCCATGGGTGGACCTTACGTAGACGCATCGGTGCACCCACCACACGTGTCTCCTACTACTTACCAATCTCTTCGACAGCAACCGTATCCTTCGCCGGCTGCTGGCCAGCAAAGATATCATCAGAGAGCGATGTCAATACAGATGTCGCAGCCCCCGTCCGTGCATTCACAAGGTTATCAGCAGGGGATAGCATATGGGAACCAGCCCGTCTTTGCTCCTTCATCTACTACCACTGGCCTTTCTCTAAATACTCTAGCCGGCCAGTATCCCGCTCAGATCATGCCTAATCATCAAACCGGCCTGATACCTCCACAACTCACTCTTCATGTTGCATCGCAAGCATCAAAGACAAACACCCCACTTTCATTTAGTGAGGGCCTTGGCGACTTCCCATTCACCACAGTACTCCCTCCTGAGACACAGCAATTTCTTCAGTCTGCACTCGACCCTAATGACCCGCTTTACCCAGCTCTGATGGCTGGTCACTCCAATACACCCCTATTTGGCTTCAACAATGGCGCGAGCGATCTCAAATCCCCCATATCAGAGCCCACACCATCGGTTCGATCAACCGAGATAGGCCCCTCTCCCCCATCATTCAGTCCGTTGTCATCCGACCGGGCGACTCTAGACTGTAGCGCTGACCAGCAAACCGTAAACTCGATCTTCGACCCATCAGCCACCCAAACCTCATTACCTCTAGAGCAAACTCCTATATCGCCGGTGGTCGATATTGCATCTAATGAGAATATGTTTGGCAATTGGAACGACCTCATCGAGGATGAGACTATCTGGAATCTTGAGAGGGTCTAATGGCAATCGAACAAAACAATTCTAGTGAAGTAATCACTGGCCGCAGGGTACATACACTTCTTTCCTTCCTCCTTTCTTTATCGTGGTATTTCTTTTTTTCGCTTTTTTCGTCTTTTCGTCTTTTTCCTATTCTCATTTCATGTGTTTCTCATTCTTTTTACAGTTTAACCGGCACGTAGCGTGATGGGAAACATCTCTTATTATCTAGCATGATTTCTTCGGGTCTATTGCCAATTGGACTTTTTTTACTTTTTTTATCACCATTTCCATTCCCCGGCTTGGGTGTTGCTTCCTCCCACCCCCTCTCTTCCTCTATGTGATTTCAATATCATAGCATGGGACTTGAACTTCGAATCGGTAAAATAATTCATGGGAACATCGGTTTTTTCCTTCCCCCCCTCTTTCTTTGTCTCAACGTTTTTCTACCTATTAGTTCCTTTTTGTTAGGTGGGGGTTCCAGGCGCCATATTACTATTGTTTTTTGAACCACCTTTTTTTATATCATTTTCCTCTGCCCCTCGTCCTCGGTCTTTCTCAGGAAAAGGAGGGAAATGAAAAGCCCAAAAATTCGATTGGCCCCTTAGTTTCCTCCTCTTCTCAATACCTCAATTATTTCCTTATTTCTTAATGCTTTTTTCGCCCCTGCGCGCTTTTAAGTACGGGCGGTCTCTGACTGGATTGGACCGGATTGGACCGGATTGGACTGAATTGGGTAGACCGATACCCATCTCTTCCGGCGATCCTATTGTTCCTTGTCTTTCCCTAATTTCATTTCTATTTCCCTAGCATCATCGACAGAACTGAAGGAACGCAGCAGATGGAACGAATGGGGAGGAGACTGAAGAAGACCTGTGAACTCTTTTTCTTTTACCTTTGTTACTGAAACTTTTTCCCTTTCCTTTCTTTCCTTCTATTCTACTTTATCCCTGAAGGCTATTAGATGTATATAAAAACATTATGGCAAGACAGACAGACAGATTGTCTGATAAACAATGCTTCTCTCTTCTCTTCCCATGTGAGATACTGGTAGCGTGTTGTGCCACACCGCATCCAGCACCACCCAAACCGGCATATTCCACCAAACGATAGGCTGATACCCGACCAACCCACCAACTATTCCCATAAACCCAAACGAATCATTTCTCTCTCCTCAATCCCCCCCCCCAACCCCCATACAACCCCACCTAGCACAGCGAGACTTTGTCGACTAGAATAGCATAACCTAGCCAGCGCAGCGTAACTCATTCTACCATCTCGGGGAATTACCACTTACGAATAATAACCCGTCGGGACTTTATCCTTCATGCCTAGCCCTAGTCGCGAGCGTGCGACAGTACGGTACGCCATGCCAACCATGCTCGAAAATTTCGTGGGTGGTGATTGTGCTTAGGGTTAGGCTTTGTAAGGGATGGAGGAGGGAGATGTGGAAGGGAAAGGGAGGGGTGGCATTGTGAGGTGAGACGAGGTCTGCGTCACGTTGTATTTATTTTATATTTATTTTCCTGGAATGGGAGTGGGGGAGATAGTGCTAGCCTGTTTAGTATTGTCTAGTTTGGTTCGCTCAGGGTTGTAAGGCTTATCTCTCTCTACCAGGCTAAGATAAAGGCTGATGCCACGATACCCTTCCATATCTCGAGAACGATAAGGCGCAGTACCGTAGGGGTAATCCCGGAGATGGAGACAGAATTAAGCTTGGCGGGGCTAGTACTCTACTACCGGTAAATTATCGAAATTCCCAGGGTCCCCCTTTCTTACCCACCCGGGCGCCCAGTAGCGGATATGAAGGAAAGAAAAAAGCCAAAGAAGGACGGTTCGCTCTTGAAAAATAAATTATAGGGGATGGCTGAAGAGTGGCTAAAGATTTGGTCGGTAAGCTCTCGGATTGCGCGCCACAGCCAGAGCACCGACCCGTCGAGGTCCGTACCATGGCCAATACTGAGGGTCTGATATTCGCCTCCAGCACTTGTGATTATTTCAAGCATAAATCAGGAGATGGATCGCACGCATAACCGAGGGAAATCCCCTGCCCTACCCTACACGGCAAGAGCTAAGAGTTAAGAGTTACAGTGATATTGGGTTTGAGTTTGAGTGAATGGATGAATGGACCGCATGATGATTCCCCCTAACCGATCAAATGGTTCATAAACTGCTTGAAACCTGACTGTGATAGTTGGGTTGTATTTGGGAGCAAGGAGTAAACCAGCTAAGGGGCCAAGACGGGAAGGCGGAGTAGGAGAAGGGGGGCAAGGGATATTTAATAAAAACTTTATGGTACATTATTGAATAAACGGTACTGGGTGCTGTCTAATAATATTTCCCATTGAATGAATGAACATGACCTTAGAGCTCCCGGATTACGCCTCGTTTTATTAAAACTCAAATTTAGGTGGTGGTGACAATTTGTCTCTGGACAGCTTCCATGATATCTAGGGATTCGTCCTCCTTTACGAAGACTACAGGGGTAGAAAATTCAGTCAGCCAGCTCGTGTAAACTTTCAGACGATTGCACGCCTGGTCTATTGATAGACATACCAAGGAAATAAGGCGTAGGGGGGTTTATATCCCCATGAGTAAAGACCTCTTGGGGATCCGCCACTTCAGTCACATAACTGTCATTATACTTGCGAAAGAGTTTTCTCTGGAAATCGTAGATGTAGATCCAGTAGTGGCCGAAGCTTGCGGATCCTAGTATTTATCCTACTGAGCGCGAACACCTATATAACCTCTCAGGTGCATGCTCACCTCTGTGTATGAAAACCGAGTGGATGCGATAGCCCTGATTGCAGGAGTCTGTAAATTGTTGCTCAATACGAGACTGAAGCGCTTGAATCCGGGCTTCAATCGCTTTCGTACCATACCAGCCCATGTCAGTATTAAAAATGGCAAAACACCTGGGCGGAATCATACATTCACCCTCCCGGCGCATGGATATGGCTCTTTGTTCGAGCTCCCTAAGGAGAGCTGGCTGGACCTCTATCTCATCATCAGATTTGAGCTCGGAAAGCCACTGGTGAGTGTATTCGAGTGCCTCGGGAACACGTATCCCAGCCTAGGGATATAGTCAGCATTAACTTCTAATATCAGCCATCAACCAAAGAACCCGCACTGGAGTCTTCGTTAGCTCCGCCAATCTTTGTTCCAGTGCCTTTAGCTCCTCTTTCCATACCCAGGACTCCTCCCGCTTTGCCTTAAGATCAGAGTCTTCGGTTTCCATGTATCGATCAAGATATATCGTGTCTGGGAATTTCAAATGCGAATTTGACTTGTATGCAGAAGCCTTAGCCCGATCATACTGAACTCTCTGAACCTGTATCTGCAAGATGGGTGGCAAATGGCTGATAGACAGAAAACGCTTGGCTTCTCGTCCTTCCAGATCAACCTGCTCGATATCAAAGCTGCTGTCAAGAGCTGAGTAGATGTCTCGGTCACCTTCTGCAACATCGACCAGCAAGTGAGAAAACAATTCCTATCGACATGTTAGCTTTATGCCCCGCCTGGGAGGGCATGATCATTCATACCTCTTTAGTCCTGGTCTCGGCGGAATTCGGGAAAGAGAGTGTTTGCTTTGTCCTTCCGTAAAACAGTCTGAAACTCGTTAGCAAAGCCTGATTAAAAACCCATATGACTTACTTCTTCACTAAATCTATCTGTTCTCCATTCCCATCAACAGATTCCGGTTTAATAGCAGCTTCCACCTGGAACATAACATTACCAATACATTCTGTGACATCCTGTTGGCGCCCGAACATAAAATTTGTGTCTGGTTTTGGATCTTGTTTGGTTGGGCGTGGGGGAACTGGAGGTGGTCGATCCGGCATATCCGGGGGTGGGGTTGGTGGGCCATATGTTGGGCGAGCCTTGTTTGCAGCAACCCCACTAGCCGCCTGCGACTCGTTCATATCAACGTCCCGAAGCGGGGAGCGCGGAGCACCAACAATACCTGCGGTGATTTCTTTGAGTGGAGGAAGATTTTCTTTGTCATCGGCCCGATTTGACTTTCCATCATGATAGACCATTACGTAATCCTCGCCAGTTCCGGGGTATGGAGGGGGGAGGTCTTCATTCTCATTAACCAACGTGGCTTCGCTCGTCGTATCATCAGTCTCTGGTTGGGGTGGAGCATTTTCATCAAGGTCCATTTTGTCATCAGCATCATCGTTGATGTAAATAACAGGTGGCGGAGGCGGTAGCGGCACATCATAGGACACAGACAATCGTCGCTCCTCCTCCTCCTCATCTTTAGAACTCACAAGGGTCAAGTACGCTAAATCCCGCTCAGGAGTGACGGAAGATGCCTGGGATGTTATGAGGTTCTGGAATAAGGTGCGAAGATGGCGAACAACTGTAGAAATAAGACCATCAGCTAATGGTATCCCAGAATCATGGGTTGTCGCTAACATTTCTTGGCCCTCTCAATCTCCTTCTTTGAGACTTTCCTTCCTCCTACTCTCTTTCTCTCAGCCACCTCATTATTGATTTCCTCCTCTTGGAATTGATCGATATTGAGAATCATGTCGCGTAGTGGCTTTATAGTGAAGTAAAACTGCAGCAAACTATTCAGATAGCAAGTGTTTCCAATGTTCTCAAGCCCAACAGGCCACTCCGCGGAACCCTTTGAAATTCCATCAGCATTCCCTGTCTGGAGGTATGATTGAATCCTGGCGCTATTTCGATTTTGGCCAATACTTCTAAGCGCCGCCCTGAGGTCTCGCGTTTGGCTGGGAGCGTCTTGTTGCTGGATGATGATCAGCCAGCAGAACTATTAAAGGAACAGGCCATTTACTCTCAACTCGAAAACATTGACTATCAGATCCTCACTAAGAGAGTAATCGTCGATCCCCAAGCGACTGTATGCAGCGCCTATCTCCAGGGGAGTCTCGTAGAGGTTTCCCTCGAGGAAGCAATACAAAACATTGCTTTGGCGATTTTCTGCGATCAATTTCAAAGCATTCCTGGCAGTGATTTCGTCATCGGGATTGTCTTCGATCCGGACTTTGTATGCCGAGAGGATATATTGATCCTCGCTGCTTTCCAAGACGCGAAGCCATTTGTAGGCATCTGCAATATCTCCGACAGCTAGTGTGCTTATTAGCTACATCATAAAGTGAGATTGAATTTATTATTCCAGACTAACGCGCGTTTCAAGAGCATGTTTCTCAGTTAAACATTTCAGTCGATATTCCACTTACCAAGTTTTGCAAACGAAAGTATCTTCTCGCTCCTCCTAGCGGTTCCAATAATCCTCATGTCCTCTCTCATTGGTCCTTCCTGGCGAGGAGCGTCGGCCAATCGGCTCTTAAACACACCGATAATTAAATCATCATCCGATGTAACGGGATCCACACCGAGCGACTTATAGCTGCTCTCCAGGTCAGACGTAGAAAATTGCCCCTCGGAACGTAGGCGGGCAACTTCGAATTGGAGATTCTCGCTCTTCCTACCCTTAGCTATACTCTCAAAGCACTCAAAATAATATGGAGCATTAATAGGATCGCACGCCCGTTGGCGCTCATATGCCCAGTTTATAAGATCGTCTGACATATCCGCAACCGCACCAAGGCCGGCATAGTGGCTGATCGCTAAATTAGCCAATCATCAGTTATAAACGGACTTCCACTTACGGATGTTCTGGAGCTGTAAGGTCAAACTGCCAGCCAATTGCGGTATCATCTGGGTAGAAATGTTAGAGGTTTGTCTAACATAGTATCCAAATTTCTACAGACAACTTACATTTATGAAATCCGAGGAGCCATTTAGCCACAAGCTCTGCTCTCTCGGTTTTCTGACGAACACGGGCAGCTATTACAATTTGTCAGCATTCCGGGACAGAGCCACGATCGACAATCTAACATTTCGCCGGAGCATCCCCTTTGTGTTTCTCATCATCCATTAGTATCATAACTTCCTCTAGCAACCCGCAAAGATCCCGTTGCGCTTGTGAACCGGGATCGCCCAGCTCGGCAGAGGAAGACGGTATCCAAGCGTTCGTGTCAGGATCCTGCCAGATTTAGCACCTAAAGCTCAGGGTGCACAAGTAGGGAATAACCTACGGGAGACCTGGTAAAATGCGCTAACCGCATGACCTCCTCGCATTCTCCTAGATTACATAGGTACCGCTTGTTTTCAGCAAAGATTGACCGTTGGTCACCACCTTTGTGGTTCTTGATATAGGTACAGAGAGTCTCAAGAACTTGGTATCGAGTTTGTGGAGCCGCGTCCACAGGAATAACATTCGGATTTATCCTCGCCGCCTCTTTAACTCTAGCCTCACGGGTTTTCTCCGAAAGTAGCAATTCCATCAGGTCGGGTCTTATCATCGCAGGCTGCGTGGTAACAGTAACAACTAGGGGGCAATTAGTCGAAGAGCATGAGAAAACCCTCTTGTCCACCCATCTCTTCCGAGACCTCTTGTCGTAGCGAGAGGTATCCACCGGTGATGATATTTTGGACTCATAACGGAAGTGGTGTAGTAGGTTATACCGATATTGATTTCGGCTGCCCTTATTCGGGCAGAGGGCAACTTCGGCATTAAACTCGACAGGCTTCGTAAATTCAGCTTCAATGTCGATATGCATTCGACATGTTTGACAAATAGTTGCAATTTTGTATGCCTGGTCGATGGAGATTATCTCGTTCTTGACGTAGCAGCTTTTCTCTGCTATAACATCTAGTACATGTTTGTGATTCGGTTCGTATGACGCATGGAGTTGGGGATCGAAATGAGGGGGATTGTCTGGCAGGAAATTACGTTCTTTCCTTAGAGGATTGTAGGCAATCAAGTCGGCCCAAAATCTGGGAGCACATTTCCCTGCGCCAAGAAAGTTAAATCGGGCGGTCAGTTAGTCTTTGGTCTGAATACCCATCACGATCTCGCAGAGGTGGAGATAAAACTTTGCTTACGTGACTTT